GAAAGAGAGAGGATGATGAGAACAGCTGGCCTGGAAGGCGTAGAAAGAGAATCTAAACATCCTAAACAGTGGAGAAACAGTGTTATGAATGAGTAAATGACTGAGTCACCGTATACAGAATATCTTTGAACTGTTGGTTTGATAAATCAAGTCATTTTAATAGAGTAGATTTTAGTTTTGGCATACCTCGTTAGTCAATCAACAGTTACACTTGTCTTCTTTCACTTGTCTCTGAAAGCCACTGCAGCCAGCACACACAAACCACAGACCTCATTTCCACACTCTATCTTTCCCCCTCTGGAGCCAGCTCTATCTTTTAGCTACTAGGACACAGACATGTCACTGCTGGGGCTCCCACTGCTCCACTCACATTATACACTGCTACTCCTTTTGCTTTGAGCTGTTTTTGTTCTCTCATGTGCAGAAAATGGTAAACAAGAGAGTATAATTCAATAGTGAGGTGGATGGACCCTGGGAACAGAGAAACAAATTTGAGACACCTAGTCCACCGCTTCCTATGTTTTGGCTGTTCATGGACAGGCAGAAGAATGTACAACTGCTCTGAGCTGTTGTTGTTCTATTAAAATGATTAATAAGAGCTTCAATAGCAAGGTGCAGGAATGTCTGAGAGGAAACATTTTGGATCGAAAACAAGTACTTGAACATATGTACTGCACAGACCCACTCTGTTTTGCATCTGTGTATGGAGGCATCATGTCTGTGCAGGGGTAGAGGAGAAGTTGGCAGCGATGCCAGGCACTGTGAGGTGACAGGATGGATGGGAGGGAGGATGTCACACACAGCAAGCACTATGTGTTTTATTTATTTATATTTCCAAAGAGTGCAAACAGCACAGCATGTAGAGACATGCATCAGCTGCCTGGAACGCGGCCCAGTGGACACTTAACCCTGCAACCACAGAGAGATGTGTGCATGGTATTAAGAGAGATGTTTATTCACTCATTCACTCACTTACTCATTACATCTGACAAGAACAACACACTGTATTTTTGGTCATGCAAAATTGTCAGTCTATAACTTTGGAAAGAAGAAACAATACACTTTTCTAACAAATAAGAAGCTGAATTTATAAGTAAAATATCACTTCCTTGCTCAGTTCATCTACTGGCATCACCAGTAGCTTATGGCAGCTGATGTTAGCTAACTTTAGATAAATAGTGGGCACATTTCATTTCTCCTAATTTCTTCCACATTTCCCTCACTTGAGTCTTTTTCTTGTCTTAGTCCTGCCCACTTAGGATGTGCAAGGGAAAAAATGCATGGAGAGAGGACTCAGCAGCTGAATCCCAATGTCCTAATTTTATCATTCCTTGGTCCTTAATCCTTGCTCAACCCGGAAGTTGTTCTAGTCTGCCATGATTAAGGACATCCTCAAGTTCTTATTTTTGATCCGTAGAGCAAGGACTGAGGAGAAAGGAGGTAGCCTGGAGGAGCTATAACCAAGGATAGATGAGTGCATCCTTTAAAAGTCTGCTATGGTGTTACAGATTGACATGCCCCTTTATCGGAAATTATCTCATGATTGGACACTTCACCAATGACGCAGGATCATAGGAAAGGGCATCTCATGTCAGTAAAAACATGTTTTCCCAAATCCTGTCTCCTCAGTTTCTCCTTGCAACTCATGTGTGGGACTAAGACACAAGGAAAAGACATAAGTGAGGGAAACATGGATGCAATTAAAGGAATTATGTTTCACTTAAGGAAACCTGTTTTAGAGACATGAAATGCCCTTCCCCTTTCACCAATCAAGTTAAGAATGCTGCAACCCACCAACATTGCCTGTCTTTTTCATGGGTAAAAGGATATATAAAACAAATTTAAACCAAGTACTGTACAACACACTGACCACTGACTCAGGCCTCTGAGCACTCTCTCAATGACAATTTTTCTCTGTCCTCCTTCTCTTAGTCTCTCACTCTAGATAAGAGTCAGCCTATCCACTAAGAAACTAAGGCCTATCGTCTTTTTCAGCCTGACAAGTTGACACACTGACTTCTGTCCTGATGCAGCTGAGGACGCTGATATCTTATGTTGTGGCACTCTGTCCACTCCTATTACTGATCACTGAGACTGCTCTCCACTGTCCTTGTTCCTGTGTTTCAGCTAGCCTCATTCAGGCTTGAGCAACATGATTATACATGCTCTGGGTTGCAGAGATGTGTTAACCTGTAGATAAGACTTATCTTGATTTTTAAAGATGAGGCATGGTGCAAAATACCAGTTTTAGATACATAAAAGTAAAATAATTTAACAAGCAGTCAAATTCACACAGACTACTATGGGTCTGGCAACCAGATTATCACTAGTGTGCTGTACTTTCTAAATAGCCCAACACTGGATACTACATTCATTTATTTCTCTATCTGCATCTCAATATGGTACACTGGGATAACGTTACCATTGAGTGTCTCTGTTTCCCACTACAGACAGTGACTCAGTAAAGCATGCCAGAGAGCCATTATTCAGGGCTTTTAGCAAGCTTTTTGAAAGGTGACAGGGAACACATTCCATCTGTTCTCACATGAAGGATCATATATCTGCTGCCTCAAAGAGCAGCCAAAATGAATATTGATTTCTCTGACATTATATAAATTCAGAAATTAAGGTAGTGCAATAATTTAGTGCATAAAGGACATACATGCAATACCCTTTCGAGTTGATGTTAACATTTAACACTTTTATAATATCATTGTATATTGTTAATTATCTAAAACAATAAGGGATTCCAACATATATAAAATAATACATGTGATTTGTGCAGAGTCAGGTGATTATGTTTCCAAATGTAGAGCCAAGCATGCTGACCAAGGACTGAAGAGAGATTTTACATCGGTATGTCCCTTACAATGCCAAAACACTTGGCCCTCACTGCCATATAAA